GACTTCTTTGCTCTGTAACTGCGGCATTTAACCCCCGTACGCCTTAGGGATGTTTGTCCGTTCACTGAATTACGTTGGGTGTCTTCTCTCCTCGCCCTTTGTCCTTTGCTCTCGTACTTTTGCAGCGTGTACCCTTCCCAGCACTTAGATCTGTCACCTGTGCACCTTTTCGAGATGCGAGGTCAATCGCAGTCTTTACTTCGGATTCCCTGAAACGCTGCAGTTCGTCCCCTTTGTGCTGTGGCGCGGACACGGCTTTTGAAAGGAAGTCACGTTCTTGTTACCGGTTCACGTGGCGGTGGTTGTCGATTGATTTACCCCCGCCACACCACTTCCCTCGCCGTGCCTTCGCCCTTGCTACTCAGAACTTGCACGTGGCCATGCTCTTCTCAGTGCGTCTCCGCGAACCCACGTCTGCGGACGGAGACTCTGCGTCTCCGCGAACCCATGTTTGTAGACAGAGACTCCATGTCTCTCCACGTGCCCGTGTGTGCAGAGACCCCGCGTGTCCGTGAACCCATGTGTGCGGACAGACGTCGCGTGTCCGCGAGCCCGTGTCTGCGGACAGACAGCTCAGTTGTGTGTTTTGTTTTGGTCCAGACGTATCCGCGTGCACGTCTCAGGGACGGCCTCAGAGCGGGCGGCCTCGGGACGGGCAGAGCTGCGGGATGGCGCCGCCCTCCCCCGGGGCTGCTCTGGGTGGGGTGGGGTGGGGTGGTGGCGTCTGTCCAGGATGTGCCCGCCGTGTGGTTCCACGCTCCGGCGAGGATGGCCCCGTTGTGTTGTGTTGTGTTTCATGCCGGCCGTTTTGGAAGATGTGCTGGCTGTGTCTGGAGTCCCGTGGTTCCCTTCTCCTGTGTCTGCACTTGGGTTTCCGTTACTGGCGGCGTGTGGGGGGCCCTGGGAGCGCAGGACTCTGGGTGCGCCCCCCATGCTGGGCGGCCGTGTGCACTCTGGCTTCTGTCCGTCCCACTTATCCACGTCTGTGCTCGGCTGTGCTCTGTCCGCCCTGCCGTCCATCCACGTGTGTTGTCTGTGAATCTGCTCGTGACATCTAGACGTGTTATTTGGGTCAGTGTTCAGTCGACTTGGATTTTCAGGCATCGCGTTTTTGTTTTCTGAACCACGTGAGGAACGTTGGTCCTGCGTCCGATCTGCTGGCGTCTGACGTCTTGGCGCGTTCAGTCCTGTCTCACTGCTGCTCTCCGTCCTGGCGCCTTCTTTGCTCGTGCACTTGTGAGTTTGGACTGGGAGTTGCCCCTTTTCCTTGGGACTTCGGGGAGTTTTGTGGGTCTTCAGATGACGGTGGGTGTGCCGGGGGCAGACCTTGCTGCTTCCAGGCGGTGGGAGCCTGGCGTGACTGTTCGGTCTTGAGTCTGCCGTGGCCGGGAGTGCTCCAGGGAGGGTGGCCCCCGTGGCACCCCGCTCCTCGATGCAGCAGCGTGTGTGAGGCCCACCGTTTTCGTTCCGTGGAGTCAGGCGTCAGTGGGGGCTGGTTTCTGGCTGATTCTTCCCACGGTGTGCAGCTCTCTGGGACCCGCACTCGGCGCCGCCCTGTTTAGGACGCGGGATGGTGTCTCCTGAGCCCTGAGCTCGTCGGCAAGGCCGCAAAGAGACGTCATTTCAGCCGCGCAGACGCCACTGGCCTCGCCGGGTTCCCCTTCCGGGTGTTTGTGGCTTGAGGAGGCCTTCCTTTCCTGCCAGGGCACGATGCTCTCGAGCCGTATTTGTCAGGTATTCCGTGGAGCGTTTTTAGGGACTCTGAGCGGAAGCGGAGGTCTGGGCACCTGGGATCTTCCCCCGCACGAAGAGGGAGCTCACCTGGAATTTCTGCTGCTGGGCGAGACCCCGTGAGGTTCCTGTGGAACGGTGTCGTTGGGCCTCGGACGCTTGCGAGGGCAGACGCGTGCTCGGTGGGCGGCCGGTTCTCAGGTCCCCACCCGCACCGGAGACGGGCAGGTTCCGGGCTCGGAAGGACGCAGGGTGACACAGCCAAATGCCGCGTCACGTGGCCGGCGCGCTCGGGGTAGCAGCTCCCCGAAACAAGGGAGAGCCGTGCTCCCCGTAGAACCGTGCGCCCAGCAGCCCACGCCGCTGGGGGCCTGCTCTGTGCAGAGCCGGGGCGGCCTCGCCCCCTCTAGCGGGAGCACGGACAGACTTCCTGAGCCTGTGGGCCGGGGCGCGGCCGGGGAAGGGCAGGGGCGGGCTTCTGCGGGGAGCGCTGGTGCTTTGTGTGCCGCTGACCTTGTGGCCCGGGCGATGCGGCCGCCAAGCAGCGGCAGGGTGCGGGAGGGGTGCTCTCTGTTCGGGGTGACCTCTTGAGCTCCTCTGACCGCCCGAGAAGGGGTGGCCGCGTGGGGGTGGGTGGACTTTGTGGCGGCAGGAGCTGAGCGTGGTCTGGGATGAAGGGAGTGCGGGGCTGTGGGGCTGTCAGGGCCCAGTGGGTGCAAAGGCCCTGAGGCGGGCAGCGGCGGGGTGTGTGCCAGAGACCCTGCACACCTGCCCCTCCCCGGGTGCCGTGGTTCTCAAGCCCTCTGGGCAGGAACCCTCCTCCCACACCAGCTCGAGGGGGAAGGGGAGCGTGGCCCCCGTGGCCCAGAGGCTTCCTGCTGGTGGGGGGACCGCTGCAGCGAGGGCTGTGTTTGCAGAGCAGACACAGAAGCCAGTGGCCCCCAGGCGCCCGGGTCCAGGCAGCCTCAGCGCGTAGCCCCTTCCCACCCCGCCCCTCCCTCGTCCCTCCTTCCCGCCTTCCCGTCCTCCCCCTCCCCTTCCCATGGCTCCCACGCTCCAGCCTCCTCCTGCCCTCCCCTCCCGCTGTCCCTTTCCCTCCTGCCCTCCCCTCCCGCTGTCCCTTTCCCTCCTCCCCTCCCCTCCCCCTTCCTCCTCCCCTCTCCTTCCTTCTCCCCTCCCCCCTTCCTTTCCTCCCCTTCCCCCTGTTCCCCCCCCCACCCCCACACCACACTCCCCTGGTTTGCATCTCTCCGTGCGCTCCTGCGTGCGCTTGCTCTCTGTACGAAGGTTCAAGGCCCCGGACGCCGGACGCTGCTGTGTTCGATTACGCCTGCCCCCGCGGTGGCTGAACAGAGAACACGTCTCACGAAAACGTGCCTGAGTCTTGGAAGGGGAGGCCTCTGAGCACCGAGGAGTAGAGGGAATGACCTGATGACGGGTCCGTCCCTGCCCTGGGACTGAGGGGACACAGGACCGTTCCTGATGTGGGACGCTGGACAATGGGGACCCTCCTGACGTGGGACTGAGGGGACACAGGACTGTCTCTGATGTGTGAGCCAGGACGATGGGGACTGTCCTGCCGTGTGACTGAGGTTGACGGAAGACGGTCTCTGAGCCGTGACCTGGGGGCACGGGGACAGCACTGGACTGTGACTGTGGAGCATGGGGACTGTCTCTGTGGCTGTCACGGAGCAGTGACGGGGTCCCGCTCGGCAGCATGAAGGGGGATCCCGCACGGCGGGTGAAGGATCCCATGGGGAAGCGGTACCAGACACGTGCAGGACCGGGCTTGCTGACAGCGTGCTGTGGCAGACCGTGTGGTCTGTTCCCTGCACCCATGGGCACGGCCGGTGGGCATGTTCGCTGTGCTCTGAGCACCCCAGGCACAACGGGAGGACCCCTTCTCCTCACTGGGTGGGGTTGCTGTGCGGGTCCCTCCCTCAGCTGTGGCCACAGCAGGGCTTGGGCGCTCTGCGCTCCCGGGAGCCTGCCCGCGGGTCAGCCGTCGCCTCTGGTGCCCGCGGATGTTCGGGTGTGCCCTCCACCAGCCCGGGCTCACGGGTTGCGGCAGGCCCGGCCTTGCTGCCATGTACGTGGAGCTCAGCAGGCATCAGCCAGCGTGTGCCCTTCCGCATTCCCCTCTTCCCTCGTCCTCCCTGCGTGGCCTCCCGCACTTCCCGCTAGGGTGCTGGGCCGCCTCTGCCACGTGTGGCCGTGGCCTCGTGTCCCAACCCACAGAACGCAGGGTGTGGACGGGACAGGCATCTGTGGGCTGGACTGGGCTCCCGCATCACTTCAGCCGGGATGGCCGGATGCGCGGTTCTCAGCCGTCCACGCCCGCGGCTCAGGGCAGCTGTGTGTGGTGGCAGGAAAGTGCTCCGTCCTGGCTCAGCCTGGGACACGCCGCCGAGCGCCGCGGGGGGACCGTGGCCTGCAGAGACAGGGCGGCGGGTTCACCAAGCGCACCCAGCGGGGCGCCCAGCCTCGGGCCCCCACACCTGGCCCGGCACCAGGCTCCAGGCCGACTCTGCACGGACGTTTCCTCCATGGTTGACCTGAGCAGTCACGTCTGCGTAGGGGACTTCTGTGCCGCAGCCCTGCTTTGTGTGCAGAGCGGTCTGCCAAGCAGCATGCTGGCACGCGGCGGCCACTGGGGACGTGCCGACGCCACGGTGGTGGGAAGCTGCGTCGGACGTCCGGCCACGCCGCCAAGGCTGGCGGCTCGGGCTGCGGGCTGGCTGTGGGGGCCTCGCAGAGAGAGCCTCAGGCCACGGACGGCCCTGTTCTCCCCAGAGAGACACCGCAGGTAGGGCGGTGGGTGCGTCCCACGCCAGGACGGGTACCGTGGGAGCAGGTGACTCCTTGTGTGCGCGGCCCACGCAGTTCACCCGTTCCTGCATGCGATCACCTGCGCGTTAGTGACCACCTGGCCGGCCTGACCCCCGGGAGGACTCGGGGCAGGTTCTCTGCGAGCATCCGCGTCGGCCTCTCAGTCAGCCCGGGCATCCCTGTCCCCGTCCTGAGGGGTCCCGGCCGAGGCAGGACTGCAGGAGGCTTGGCAGCGAGGGCCCGCGGGGGAGTGTGGCGCTCACTGGCGGGCCGTGTGTCCTCCTGCAGGGACTCTGTGGAGTCGTGTGTCCACACTCAGGTCAGAGGTGGTGCTCGGTGCATTTACTTTCCAACCGGCTCACCCCTGCTGATTACGCGTGCGCGTGAAGACACGGGACGCTTACAGGTTCTCATGTGGTGCCGTCTGTTTTATGTCTTAGGTTCAGGCGAAGAAGGAGGAGCCCCTGCCGCCCGCCACCAGCCAGAGCATTCCAACGTTCTACTTCCCTCGAGGCCGTCCAAAGGACACGGTGAACATCGACGCCGTCATCACCAAGATCGAGCGGACTTTCGCACAGTTCCCGCACGAGAGAGCCAGGATGGAGGACATGGGCCGAGTGGCCAAGGTGGGCGGGCGCCCACGAGTGTGCGGACGTTCGCTGCTCTGATTCCTACTCGCGTCCATTCCGAAGCACAAATAGGGATCTTGTGGGAATGTTCGTCCTCCGTCCTGAAGGACGCACGGCATGGGTCGCTGTCCCAGGTTCAGCGAGCGTTAATGCCTGCGTCTTCTAGGGTCCGTCCCCAGAGGCTGAGCGCAGGCCTTTCTATGCACTGATGCGGCCCCGTGTCTCTCCCGTGCGGCCCGTGTCTCTCCCGTGCGGCCCGTGCGTCTTCCCGTGCGGCTCGTGTCTCTCCCGTGTGACCCCGTGTCTCTCCCCGTGCGGCCCGTGCATCTTCCCGTGCAGCTCGTGTCTCTCCCGTGTGAGCCTGTGTCTCTCCCCGTGTGGCCCGTGCGTCTTCCCGTGTGGCTCGTGTCTCTCCCGTGTGACCCCGTGTCTCTCCCGTGCGGCCCGTGCGTCTTCCCATGCGGCTCCTGTCTCTCCCGTGTGACCCCGTGTCTCTCCCGTGTGGCCCGTGTCTCTCCCGTGCGGCCCGTGCGTCTTCCCATGCGGCTCGTGTCTCTCCCGTGTGACCCTGTGTCTCTCCCGTGCGGCTCGTGTCTCTCCCGTGTGGCCTGTGTCTCTCCCGTGTGGCCCGTGTCTCTCCCGTGCGGCCCGTGCGTCTTCCCATGCGGCTCCTGTCTCTCCCGTGTGACCCCGTGTCTCTCCCGTGCAGCCCGTGTCTCTCCCTTGCGGCCCGTGCGTCTTCCCGTGCGGCTCGTGTCTCTCCCGTGTGACCCCGTGTCTCTCCCGTGCGGCCCGTGTCTCTCCCGTGCAGCCCGTGCGTCTTCCCGTGCGGCTCGTGTCTCTCCCGTGTGACCCCGTGTCTCTCCCGTGTGACCCCGTGTCTCTCCCGTGCGGCCCGTGTCTCTCCCGTGCGGCCCGTGCGTCTTCCCGTGCGGCTCGTGTCTCTCCCGTGTGGCCCGTGTCTCTCCCGTGTGGGGTGCTGTTCTTCTGGAGCGGGTGAACACGCACCCACAGTCCTGAGTGCAGGACGCGATGGGTGTCAGCTCAGCTCCCGTGTGGCGTGTGCGTCATACCGCGGCCTCGTTTGTCCCAGACAGCGTGTTCCTAGACTGTCCGTGTTCACACGTGCAGACGTGACCTCGCGCATTCAGTTTCCGTGTGCCGTCCTCCTGGGGGGCATCCACCACAGTTACTCACGCATCGCCCACGGACGCCGTGTTCTGGGCCCACATCTCAGTGCGTGCCGCCGAAACAGAGCTTGCAATGGGCTTGCAGAAACAGGACCCCTCAGGCTCCCCCAGTCACAGAGCCCCACGTGGGCACAGTGGGGGCACAGCGGCCCGAGCCGGGGGCAGCACGCAAGGGTTCCTGCTGGCCCGGCCTTTTCCCCTCTGCCCAGCCCTTCCCCCCTCCTAGGGGCCCAGCCCAGCCCTTGCCCCTCTGCCCAGCCCTTGCCCCTCTGCCCAGCCCTTCCCCCCTCCTAGGGGCCCAGCCCTTCCTCCTCTGCCCAGCCCCTCCCCCTCTGCCCAGCCCCTCCCCCTCTGCCCAGCCCTTGCCCCTCTGCCCAGCCCTTCCCCCCTCCTAGGGGCCCAGCCCTTCCCCCCTCCTAGGGGCCCAGCCCAGCCCTTGCCCCTCTGCCCAGCCCTTCCCCCTCTCCGAGGGGCCCAGCCCTTCCCCCTCTGCCCAGCCCTTGCCCCTCTGCCCAGCCCGTCCCCGTCTCCGAGGGGCCAGCAGCTGCACGTGGGCGCCTCCTGGGCCGTGAGCTTGCTTGTCCGTGGGGCCTGTGGTGGTCGCGCTGTAGAAAGTGGTTCTGAGTTCAGCATGCAGTGTTCACCAGTGGATTGCGTGTGTCCCTTGTTCATGTCCTGCGTGGCCAGTGTGCCCCTGCTTTCCCTGTCCCTGTCGCTCTCGGACACTCTTCTCCACCGAGCGCCTCTGCGTGCTCTGGAAGCCCGTGGTGTGGGCCTTGTGTGCGGTGCGAGAACATCGTCCTCTCCGGGTGCTGAGTAACTTCGTGCGTGCACGGCGTGAGAACAGTCTCCTCTCCGGCTGCTCGATGACTTCGTGCATCGTGGGTGCCTTCTGCTTTCCATGTTTGGGGCTTGCCTTTCGTCTGTCTCTCACCCCCACAGACAGAGTTCCCGTGCCACACAAGCCAGCCATTTAAAGCACGCAGCTCAGCGGTGTTCGTGTCCTCACAGAGCCGGGTGCAGTCCTCACCGTGCTCCGTTTTAGGACACAGCCTTCCCTCCGAGAACAAACCCTGTGCCCGTTGGCATTGTCTCCCTCCCTCCTTCCCGCTCCGTAGGAAGCCACTCCTCTGCTTCCTGTGCCTGCACATCTGCCCATTTTGGACATCTCGTACACGCACGGTTTCTTACACGTGACTCCTTGCATGCAGCATCTTTTCAAGGTTCGCTCTCCCGTTACACGCATGTGCACTTCCTTCTTTACTCCCGCGTTCCGTATTTACCCATTCATCCACTCCTGGGTGTTTGTGTTGTTCCGGCTGCCGTGAGCCTGCACGCATGGGTGTGTGCACGCGTCACCTTTCTCTGGGGTCTGCACAGCCGGGAGTGGTCATGCGGGGTCACGTGGGAATCCCGTGCACCTGCTTGTGGGACCACGAGCGCTTTTCCAAAACACCTGCGCCATTTCCGTGCCCTCTGGCGGTGAATGAGGTCGCGCTGTGTCCACGTCTCTGATGAGAGACACTGACCCTGGGCTGTGTGCCCTGGAGTCTCATTATGGGACTGATTTGCAGCTTCCCTGCAGACTGACAGTCGTGCGCATCTCTTCACATGCTTGTTGGCCGTTTGTACATCTCTGGACAAGTGTCTGTTCGCATCCTTTGCCCATTTCTCAGTTGGTTGTCATTTCTCTGTTGAGCTGTAAGAGGCCTTTGTGTGTCGTAGACACAAGTCCGTGATCAGATACGTGGTGTACACGTACTTCCTCCCGTTGTCCGGGTCATTGCTACGCTTTTCATTTTGACGTACTTTATCTACTTTTCCGTTTGTTTCTTGTGCTTCTGGCGTCCTGTCCAAGAAACCATTGCCAAATCTAAGGTCGGGAAGATTTATTCATTCTTTTCCTGCGGGTTGTATAGTTTCACCTCTTACGTGCACGTCGTGCATCTGTTTCGAGTTGGCTTTTGTAAATGGTGATGTCGGGCACAACTTCATCTTCTGCCCGTGTGCACATCGAGGGGTCCCAGCACCACGTGTGCAGAGGACGCGTCTTTCCGCGTGGACTGGCCTTGGCTCCCTCATTGGAAATGAGTTGATGGTGAAATGCGGGTTTATCGCTGGACTCTGACTGTATTGCGTGGACCTGTGTTTCCGTTTTTATGCCAAGACCACACTGTCTTCATCACTGTTGCTTTGCAGTAAGTTTTCAGACAGGGAAGTGTAGCCCCTCCGACTTTGTTCTTCTTCAAGGTTGCTTGGGCTCCTTGGGGCTCTTTGTAATGCCGTGTGAATTTTAGGATCGGCTTGTCGGTTTCTGCAGATGGCCAGCAGGTATCCTGATAAGAGTCACGTTGAGTCTGTACGTCGGTTGGCAGACCTTTGCCATCTTCATATTCAGTCTTCCGATCCATGTCCAGAGGCTTCTTTCCGTGTATTTAGATCTTTCGTTTCTTTCGGAAACGTTCTGTAGTTTCTAAGTGTGTTTTGCACGTCTTTTGTTCAGTTTGTTCCAGAGCATTTTATTGTTTTTGATGGTTTATAGATGGAATTGTTTTCTAAAACGTATGTTCACATTGCATGTTGCAAGTGTGTACAAATGCAGTTGATTATCGTGCATCGACCTTGCATCCTGCATCCTCATGAACTCACGTGTCCGTCGTCATGCCGCTAACGTTCTGTAGAGTAGAAACCTACAAGCAGGAATCGCTGGGCTTCTTCCTTCCCAGTGTGCGTGTCTCCTGTTTCGTCCCCGTGCCTGACCGCTGAGTGAGACCTCCCGCGTGGTGCTGGAGAGAAGTGGGTGTGGACAGTCCTGTGTCGTTGCTGCTCGGGTGGGGAAGGCATCCGCTCTTCTGCCACAAGGCGCGCCGTTCGCTGTGCGGTTCCTTTATCAGGCTGAGGACGTTTCTTTCCGTTGCTTCTGTGCTGCGTCTTTATTTGGAAACGGTGTGACACGGTTTTTCTGCATCAGCGCAGATGGTTTTGGTTTTTCATTCTACTGATACGGAGTATTCCGTGAGTTGATTTCTCCAGCATTAAACCAACCTTGCGTTCCTGGAATACGTCCCACGTGGCCTAGGTGCATAGTCCTTTCTATATGTTCCTGGATTCTGTTTGCTCGTATTTTGATGATTTTTGCTCCATTCATAATTTGTAAGAGGCACTGGTTGTGGTTTTGTGGCTCCGTTGTCTGGTTTCGATGTTAGGGTAATACTTGTCTCAGAGGATGAGTTCAGAGGTGTTCTCTTCTTTTGTGGATTGGTCTCTTAAAGTTTTGTTCAAGTGTTGTTTTAGAAGTGTGTAAAAACATGCCTGGTTCCAAGGCCAAAGCCAAAAATCAGATATATTCAGAGAAGTACACATTCTATGCCTGTCTGTTTCCCTGTGTTCCCTTACCCCGTCCAGAAGGAATGGTGGTCACAGTGTCTTTACTGTTTTTACTGTTGTTTCGTTTTTCAATACGAGCCAACGTACGGACATATACGTATATGTTATGAAATGCGCACGTATATGGAAACGTACATACATATCTAATTCATACGTTTCTGAGGTAGAAAGTAGCACGCTGTCCTACACGTGGGTATTTTATCAGCAAACATTGTAATCTTGGAGCTCGTGCCGTGTCTGTCCAGGCGGTCCCCGCTGTGGACCGTAAACACTAGTAACCGTGCGAGCCGACGCCGTGCAGGTCAGTGTTATCCGGGGCAAGTTACAAGTGTTCTGGAACCTTTAAAACATGTTTGTCGAGACATTAAAAACTCTCTTACAGTTCGTTACAGACGTGTAGGAAAATGGAAAAAATAGTAA